CCAGCTTCAGATTGAATCATTCATTGTTTTGCCTAAAAAGCAAGTACTGTCCAAACCCAGTCACAGATTGATTCATAGATCCAGTCAAAGATGTATTTTAGTCATTTCTGGTTTAAATTGAGATCCCTTCCCTTTATAACTCACTTATCCTCCGCCATTCTCAAGTCAAGAGTTGTATATACTGACCCAATAGCATATCTTGAAAACTAGAGACAATCAACAATTTTAAGCATCATTTTCGTTCTCAATGACCCAGAATTAGTAAAGTTTGACTACATTTACTTCAGAAGCATTTTGGCTGTAGAGCAGTGTTACCTGTGGGGATTAAAAATACCACGGCACTTTGTCAGACTCTGTAAACCTAAAGGGACCCACTGTGATAATCTAGTCTGACCGCCTGTATAACACAGGCCACAGAACTTCCCCAAAATAATTCATAGAGCAGATCTTTCAGAAAAACATCAAATCTTGATTTAAAAATTGTCAGTGATGGAAAATCCACCACAACCCCTGGTAAATTGTTCTAAACGGTTAGTTTATTCTATTATAAATGTATGCCTCATTTCCAGTCTGAATTTGTTTAGCTTCAACTTCCAGCCACTGGATTGTGTTAGAACTTTTTTTTGCGAGATTGAGGAGCCCATTATTAAATATTTGTCCCCCATGTAGGGATTTACAGACTAATCAAATCACCCCTTAAATTTTCTCTTTGTTAAACTAATTAGATGAGCTCCTTGCGTCTATCACTATAAGACATGTTTTCTAATTCTTTAATCATTCTTGTGGCTCTTCTCTGAACCCTCTCCAATTCATCAGCATCCTTCTTTAATTGTTTACAGCAGAATGGTACACAGCATTCCAACAGTGTTTGCACCAATGTCAAATACAAAGGTAAAATAAGCTCTCTACTCCTACTTGGGATTCCTGTTTATGCAACCAAGGATTGCATTAGCCCAGGGGTGGCCAACCTGTGGCTCCGGAGCCACATGTGGCTCTTCAGAAGTTAATATGCGGCTCCTTGTCTAGGCACCGACTCCAGGGCTGGAGCTACAGGCGCCAACTTTCCAATGTTCCGGGGGGTGCTCACTGCTCAACCCCTGGCTATGCCACAGGCCCTGCCCCCACTCCACCCCTTCCCGCCCCGTCCCCCGAGCCTGCCGTGCCCTCGCTCCTCCCCAGAACCGCCTGCCTGCCACGGGATCAGGAGCTGTGGGGATGGAGGGGGAGGCGCTGATCGGTGGGGCTGCCGGTAGGTGGGAGGCACTGGGAGCGGGAGCTGGGGTGGATCTGATGGGGGGCTGCTGACGTATTACTGTGGCTCTTTGGCAATGTACATTGGTAAATTCTGGATCCTTCTCAGGCTCAGGTTGGCCACCCCTGCATTAGCCCTTTTGACCACAGACTGGGACCACACATTCAGGTAATTATCTACCGCAACCCCCAAATCTCTCTCAAAGTCACTGCTTCCCAGATGATAATCGTACTCCTAGTAGATTCTATTTAACATTTACATTTCAATAATGCCCAGGGACCAACCCAATCAGGGTCCAATCGTAAGGATGCTACCCTCATGTTCTAGGCAGATCACATTTTGTACATTACAGTCTATCCAAGTTCCCCCTGAAATTTGATCACCAATGATATTTTTCCACATTCAGTCCTAAATGCTTGTATGATGAGGCTATGCCCAACTAAACAGTTGCCAGGTTCTATCTCAGCAGTGGCTGAAATTCAGTGGTGAGTAAAGAGATTCTGATAGTACTTTGAATGAGGCCTAGTTAAATCCAACAGATTATCCTTGGCATAACAGGGATGAATTATTTCCTCTTTCCCATTCTTTATAATCACCAGAAGCAACACTTGGGTCATCTACAAACCAAAGAAATGTGGGTTTTTTATATGTTAATTGTGATACTAAAAATATTGATTTTGACTTTTTCCATGTAAGTGGGAAAGACTGCATGCACATGCATCTGTCGTTAGATGTTTGGCTGCATGTGTGTGTTCTTTTTGCGTGCTGTACTGACTCTGGCCAGAGAGCCCATACAGCAGACTCTGATCGAATTGCTCAATAAATCCACACTCAGTTTTTAGCCGCAGGCTCATGCCAGGCCTTTAACACAAGGCCTTATATCTCAGGCCCTCTTTCTACTACAGCATCATCCTTCCAAAACACCCTCCATAAAAGCACCTCAGGATACAACATACTTAAATAGCACTTCAGAACATTTTTTTTTTTTTTTTAAAGGCTCTCACCTTCCATGGTTTTTCTGGAATTGGAGCATCTTCAATTTCAGCTTCAATGTCAGTAGCATGAATCCAAGTATCATAGCTAAAAGGGAAATCAGAAGAGAAAAAATGAATTGGTCCTCTTGGTTGTTCATCCCAAAAATCACTGGCAAGAATGTTTGTTGAGCCATCAAAGCATGTTCAAATCATACCACTGGGACAGAATGGTGTCAAGTTATTTTCTATCAAAAGAACATTTGCTGGCTTCTCTCAGAGGAATGTTTGAAAAAAATGCAGTGGAAAAAGGAGTGGTTCAATCCAGCTGATGCAATACAGAAATTTACATTTCTGAGTTAGAGATTTATAAAAGCTCACAACAGTGAAATTATATATTTTCTGATAATTCCAGGTTTCAGTGGTGTTTAAGTAACTCCTGAGTGAATTCCTATTTCTCTGCACAGTTAATTTATTAAGTTGCCCCCATGTTTCTTAACCTTATCTATTTTAATTAAGATTCATTAGACTCTGAAAATAAAGGGCAGCAATACAATCTTTCCCACAAGCCTCTAGTTCTACAGAATCCATCTGACCATTATTTTCCTGTTTCACCAAATGACGTGCCCTCCCAAAAAAATGGCTGCTTGCAACAGTTTAACCAAAAAAAGAGTCCGATAACTTTGTAATCAACACTAGGCATGTGATAAAGAGCCCAAGCAGGCCACAGCATTTCTTTGCTCTCACTTTAATTGGCTGGATTGCTCTGATTTTTATATGGACACAGTTGGTACACAGAACTGAATATAAAATAATTATATATATTTATATATTTATAATGTAAAAATAAAAGTGTACTAAAAATGCTTTATTGCAAAATGAAGATGTAATTAGGAAGTGTGGTCCCATCCCTCTCCCCCACGAATTTGATGTTCACTTCTGCTGGACACAGATACACAACCACTGTTGAAATCAATGAGTCCTGCAAGCATACCACAGCGGACATTTTGGCCCTATGGAGGGATTTTTTTCAATAGAAATTTTACATTTGGGTTTGCAGATTCCTGGCACAAAGTCCATTTACACCAAGGTGTCATTGAAATCTATACAGTTCCATGGGAAAATTTAGACTTACTTTCATGCTGGTTATTGGATGGCTGTAATGGGCATGCTTATAAACTAATTCTTATCTGCTGTAAATTTTCATCTCATATTCAGACTACAAAGCATGGTGCAATTAAACTCTAAACAGTGCCTTTGAGAAATAAGTTGGTGGGGTTGTATATTTATTTAATAACTTTCAATCCAATTAGGTCAGTATATAAAAGTGTGGGGTTTATTTTTTTTTTTAATTATATATATATAATTTTGAGCATACACACAACCAACACAGAAAGCTACCTGGGATCTGAAAATATAGTTGTATTCTGCCTCTTACATCACACAATCAGTAAAAGATCCTCAGCTAACAGCTGTAGTTAATTGTGGTTTTAACAAAGAGGGCAATTAATCACTGGAACAAATTAACAGAGAAGTGGTGGATTTGCCATTTCTTGATATCGTCAAATCAATTTCAGGAAGATATGCTTTAGTCAAACATAAGTTATTGGGCTCGATACAAGGGTAGCTGGGTGAAGTTTAATAGCCTGTGATATACAGGAGGTGAAACTAGATGATCTAAGGGACTCAACTGGATTATTGTGTCCAGTTCAGAGCACACCACTTCAGGAAAGATGTGGACAAATTGCAGAAAGTCCAGGGAAGAGCAACAAAAATGACTAAAGGTCTAGAAAACATGACCTATGAGGGAAGATTGAAAAAAATAGGTCTTTAGTTTGGAGAAGAAAAGATTGGGGGGGGGACATAACAGCTTTCAAGTTCATAAAAGGTTCTTACAAGGAGGAGAGAGAAAAATTGTTCTCTAGGATAGGATAAGAAGCAATGGGCTTAAATTGCAGCAAGGGAGGTTTAGGTTGGACATTAGGAAAGACTTCCAATCTGTCAGGGTGGCTAAGCACTGGAATAAATTGCCAAGGGAGGTTGTGGAATCTCCATCATTGGAGATTTTTGAAAGCAGGTTAGACAAACACTTATCAGGGATGTCTAGACTCTAGATAATACTTAGCCCTGCCTTAAGTGCAGGGGACTGGACTGTCCTACAATTCTATAAAAAGGCACTAGACTGGGACTCAGGAGATTCAGGGTAAATTACCAGGTCTATCACAGACATTGAAAGAAAAGGTGCCATATCACCAGTCCATAAAAACTGGCAGTGTCACATTGAGCAGCTGTATTACTGCGTAGATTTTAGTCTTAGGCTATGTCTACACTGTGGCGCTTATGCCAGCACAGCCCTCTACAGTATACACAGCCTGTATTGACAGAAGTTTTTCTGTTGGTGTAGGAACACCACCTCTCTGAACCGCATTAGCTACATTAACAAAAACAATCTGCTGTCAACATAACTGCACCTACACTGGAGATTTTGTCAGCAAAGCTCTGTCGGTCAGGGGTGCGTTTTAATCACATCCCGACATACAGCTATGCCAATATCACTTTCAAGTGTTATTAGAGTGAAAAAAATCTCTTTTCTCTAGTTCTGGGTACTGCAAGAATTATTAAGTCACTAGGAGGCCGTAGAGCATGAGACCAATGCTGTGTGTTGGGTGTTCTAGCCTGTGTTGTACAGTCATTAAAAAAACCCCGGAACAATCCAATCAGATGGTGTGCAAAATGGTGAAAAGGGAGGGGGGGGGGAAGGGTTTAAACTTTTCTTTTACATGAAACCAACGGGCCTGACCCTGTGGCATTATTCTGTAGGACTAGAAAAGAAGAGCACAACTACAGACCATACAAAGCTGGGATGTCACTATTTTCTGGAAAGCAACGTGCAAGTTCACTAAACTTAATCACAGCTGCAGAGCAGAAGGTGGTTTGACATCAGGAGAAATAAGATGCGCGAAACCAAGAGGAACAGTTCATCTGTATGAAATGATGGATTAAATCATCTGCAATTTCAAACTTCTAAGACTTAACATTTCTCTTTTTTAACAAGCTTTTTCAGGATTTAGAGATGAAGGGTCTCTCCCCTCCTCCTTTCTTTACCTGTCTGGGTAAAAGCCCCAGTGCACCAACACCTGCTTATCTTTCTTCATCACAGGTCTCAACCATTCATCTGCAAAACAAAGAAACAAAGTCAGATTGAGATAGTGAGCTAACTCAAGCACTGGGGCCGGGCCATAATAAGAACAGGATTTATTTCAGGCACCTCTACCAAATGTCGCAGGAGGCAGGGAAGCTGCAGGCTGTTTTTTAAGATACATTTCTTTAACTCAACTACAGTGTGCTCAGGGTAAGCAGCAAGATATCATTAGCTTCCGTTTGGACTCTGCACCTGTCCTAAAAACCTTACTCCTGGCCTTTGAACAAGATCTGCGGTGGGCCATTAGAAATGCAAGATCTGCCGTCCTGAGTAGCAGAATGAGATCGGTAAAGAGTAGAGCTGCTGCAAACATAGGGCATCTGAGCAGCCTTGATGCCACACTACAATTTAAAGAATCTTTATTTTAAAACAAAACAAAACAAAACAAAAAC